CATGAAGTATTATTATATTGCACTATTATAAAAAATGGTTAAAATATTTGCATTTATACCTAGATTCGGTTACCATAACTGAAAGGATGTAACCTTTCATTGAGGTGAGGACAGTTTTTTCACGTTAAAAAATTAAGAGAATAACCAACAAGGAAGGTAATTAATTCCTGAAAATTAGGATGTTGGTTGAGTGAAATTAGGAAAGATACATCTTTTGAATTTCTAGCGCCCACAGCAACGAAATTTTAGATAAAATAAATCGATGGATATATTTGTTCATGTAGCAGCAGATACTCCTGGACATTAATTTTCATGAAGCAGGTAAATTTTTTATTTTTTTTTTTATCATCTCGATCGATTTATTTGATATTCTCGATCTATAATTTTGTTTATATTTGAAATGAAATCATGTTGGTCGTATACAAAAACGTATATTTTCTGATTATTCTGTGTTTTAGTAGATGGATACGCAATTGAAGATCTTTGTACATTACAATGGTGAATGGGTCATGAATGAGTACATAAACTTTCAAGTTTCGGGTATACTAGTTCGTAGAAATTGCAGATTCAACGAACTATGTGATGTACTGAAGGAGAAGCTTGGAATCACGTGTGAAACTTCTGTTCTTGAGTTGAAATACAAACTGAAGGACGGATATCCCCTCATTTTCATAGACGATGACATGAGTTTTGCATTTTACGTTGATTTGAAAATGGGTGAGACAGACTACACGAAGTTCCCAGTTTGCGTGGTTGTGAATTCTCCATTTAATGGACAAGCCACGTTTGAGGGTGCGCAAAGGGTGAATGACGTAAATGATGAAACAAATGTAACACCTTTGATACATAAGGATCTCGACAAATATACGAAGATAAGAGATGATTCACTCAACTTCATGTCTTTCGCTCATGGAGTAGCAGCAGATATGGTAGATGCGATGATATATACGGAAAATATACAGTCTATATACCCAGACAGCGGACATAGCTTACCTATGGAGCCAAGTAGTGA